ACAGAGAGAGACACAGTGAGAGCGGGAACACAAGCAGGGGGAGTGGGAGAGGGAGAAGCAGGCTTCCCGCCGAGCAGGGAGCCCGATGCGGGACTCGATCCCAGGACCCTGGGATCATGACCAGAGCCGAAGGCAGATGCTTAACGACTGAGCCACCCAGGTGCCCCTGACCAAACACCTTTAAGGAACTAAGACTGACTTTATGAAACCTGGAGCTATAAAGCCGCTTGGAAATGTTGGCCTGATACCTTGCTTTACAGAGTTACCAGCAGCCTCACCAGGTGAGTAAAGAATGTCACTTCCTGGCAGGTGCAGGAACCTCAGGATACTTTGGGGACCTCGTGAAGAGGAATTCGCTCAAATCTACAGGTATTGCAGGCATGTCTGATGGCAAGTACTTGGCTTGGCTTCTGGCCTGGAGAGGCTACTAAAAGTTCAACCTAGAGATTCCTCATAAAGGTTCCAGCAGAGCAGATTCTAAAAGATGTATATGATCATTATTCTTGCTGAGCTTACGTAAATAATTATGCCAGGTTTGTTAAAATTGGACTTGTTTTACAAACGAAAGAGTCTTGATTTGGCTGTCTCTGGAAATGAGGGTTATTTAAAGAGAAAAATTATGTTTCAATAACGCACCTTTAGTTTTGATTGTCCTTAGATGTTGTTTGCTTAAGCTAGACAACTTGAGGTAAACTTCACAGAAATAGCTTTTCTGTTTCTACACAATAGCTCCTGTATAGATAATCTTATTGCATGTTATTCTGTGGGGATAATAATAGGACCCCATGGGCATATGATTATTTAGGATTAATTTCCCAAAAATTATATAACTCAACTAGCACCTTGACCAGTTCTGTGTGGCTGAGATGACAAAATCCTTCCCTAAAAGCCAGAGCACACCCCACTCCATAGGGTTAACTATGGACCTGTGGAGATAATGGATGGCCCTACTTTCTTTATGACTGGATTGGATGATGTACCTGGATGCCCTTATCTCTTGATAAGTCTTCTCTCATTTGCCAGTAATTCCTTGTAATTAGGATATTAATGCCTTACCTCAAACAGATGGAATTATCCCTTAGTCATATTTATCCTAGAAGCCACCTCTATTGAGGTACAAATGCAAATAGAGGCTTTAGCCAAGCATATAACAGTCTTTTTGGTAGGAGCCTCAAAGCTTACTTTGGGACAATGACTGACTGTAATGACCTCACATCAGGTCCAGAGTGTCTTAGAAAGCAAAAGCCACCAAGAGATTATGGGAAACTGACTTATTAAACACTAGGCAATGCTTATAGATATGCCTGAAATATATTTAAAACCTGTCAAACTTTAAACCCAGCTACCCTTAGGCCTGGACCTGACCATCATACTTCTGTAGTATAGAACATAACCGTTAAGAGGTTATTGATCTTGTTTATTCTAGTCGACCAGATTTAAGATGCCCCTATTAAAAATCCAGGTGACAGTTGGTTTACCAATGGCAGTAGCTTCATGGAAAAGAGGGGTAAGAAAAACCGGGTATGCTATAGTCAGTCTTAACTCAGACTGCTTAGGCCAAAGCCCTGTCAGCAAATACACCTCCCCAAAGCAGAATTAATAGCGCCCACCTGTGCTTTACAATTGGCAGAAGTCTTAAAAATTAATATCTACAGTGACTCCAAATATGCCTTCCTAGTACCATATGCCATATGGAGCAACTTAAAGAAAAGGGGATTATTGTCAAGACATAACTCCCCAATCAAATATGGGCTTGAGATTATTACACAAATTTAAAGGATGGCTCTCCAAAACCGAATAGCCCTTGAAATCCCCACTGCACTTCAAAGAGGCCCAGTATTATATGACTGGCTCCTTGCTGGGACCCAATGGCTATGAGACTCTCTATCCTGTCCATAGCTTCCCCCAGGCTGGACAGGTCACTGTACTCTGGGTTTTGCCTGGAGGCACAGACACATTATTAAAACAATTACCAACCCAGCTAACCTTCCAAATTTAAAACAATGGTGGACATGTTTTGTGTGACATTGGTATGACCACCTAGCATCCATCTTTGTTCCCTCTTTGAGACTGGAGATTGTTTGGCACATGAAAACTCTTAAGTACACGGTCAAAGCCCTAAATGACACTCAAAATAGCATTTCTCTATTAAATACTAAAGTAATACAAATGCGCAAAGTAGTTTTACAAAACTTGCGCTATCATAAAAACAATGTTGTGTATACATTCTAGATTACCACAAAAATATTTCTGGGTTTCTAACTGACATGAATACTCAAGTTGGCACTTTAAATGATCTCTTTCCTTTAGTGATTGCTTAAAACTCCTAAACTGGAGGAAAATTATCAAAGGTCAACTATCCAAGGTCTTTTATTCAGAACAATATTAACCTTATTTTGTCATTTCCGGTGTCTCCCTTCCTAGTGTGAAGACTTCACTGCCATAACTTCCAGCTAACAGACCCTTTCTACTCAAGGAGGTTCATCTATGTTGACCTCGTTGGATTCAGCTGCCTCCCCTTTCATAACTCCCCTATGTGTTCCCCAACTGACCAATATTGACTCATATGTAGGGACATCTCTATGCCCTATTCAGCAGGAAGACGTTACAGAAGATGAGATCTTCCACCTTCAACAACCTTAAAGATTTAAGGGTCAAAATTGTTCAGGGGGTAAATGGTGAGGGAACAGAAGGCAAGCTGAAGACAAAGCACAAGCTGACACCCTGCAACCTCCCCCCACCCCCCATTCCTGGGTGGGACATGTGTGACATCCTTCCAGGAATCTCCCAACTATCTTAATGTTAATCCCTTGTTAGGGGAAAAACAATCTTAACTTGACAATGGCAAGGCCTCCAGTATCCTGTGAGTCTTCTTTAGCATACGAAAATCCTTTTGAAACTTCCCTTTTTCCTAACCTCCCCCAACCCCATAGTATATAAACAGCCACCCCTCACAACCCCAGGGGCAGCAGCTCTTTCTGCCCAAGGGTCCTGTCCCTGTGCTTTAATAAAACCACCATTTTGGGGCACCTGGGTGGCTCAGTTGTTCAGCGTCTGCCTTCGGCTCAGGGCATGATCCCAGGGTCCTGGGATCGAGCCCCGCATCGGGCTCCCTGCTCGGCGGGAAGCCTGCTTCTCCCTCTCCCACTCCCCCTGCTTGTGTTCCCTCTCTCGCTGTGTCTCTCTCTGTCATATAAATAAATAAAATCTTTTAAAAAAAAATAAATAAATAAATAAAAATAAAACCACCATTTTGCACCAGAGAACTCTTTCTTGGCTGTTGATTTGAGACCTCCCCCCACCAAACTTCACCTATATTCCAAAACCACATCACCTCCTTTTTCCATCTTGGTTTTTCCCCACCTTCCTTCCCCCAAAATCCTTGTCGACAGAAGTGAAGATAAACAAGCATACAATTACACTTATATATGGCTGGTAGGAGATACCATATATTGTTAAGCACATGGGCTTTTTGTATTTCCTATAATCTTCCTACATGAACATCTGGTTTTACTTATAATATGAAAAAAATCAGGTAATTTTAAGAGTTGACAGTTTACCCCCAAAATAAACCAAAAATAGCAACAACAATGTGCTTAGCTTCGGAATAAAAATTAAAATTGTAATAGCTTATATCCCAGTAACTTGTTTTTTAAAACCCCGAGGGTAGCTAATTATATGATTTTTACACATTCTAGAAGGAATAATTGACAGCTCAATAACTGTGATGTATTACAGCTCAAGCCTCATCATTATGAATTTCCACACCTGGAAATCAATTCCAACATAAAACATACTCAGTCAACAGCAACTCTATTTTTTTCCTTTCTAAAAACAGCGAGAAATTTTTCAATTTTTTTTTTTTTTTAAAGATTTATCCATTTATTTGCGAGAGAGAGAGTGAGTGCAAAAGAGTGGGGGAGTGGCAGAGGGAGAGAATCTTTAAGCAGAATTCCTGTTGAGCACAGAGCCCAACTTGGGGCTTTGATCTTAAGATCCATGAGATCCTGACCTGAGCTGAAACCAAGAGTTTAGCTTAGCTGACTGAGCCACTCAGGAGCCCTTCTTTCCTATTTTTTAAAATATAAACTAACCATAATTATTTTTTAAAATATTTTATTTATTTGAGAGAGAGAGAGAGAGAGTGTGCGTGCGTGCGCACACGCGCGGGGGGAGGGGCAGAGGGAGAAGCAGACTCCCTGCTGAGCAGGGAGCTAGAAGTGGGGCTGGATCCCAGGTCCCTGGGATCACAACTCAAGCCAAAGGCAGATGCCCAACTGACTGAGCCACTGAGGCGCCCCTAAACATAATTATTTTAACATTCTACTTCTATCTCAATGATACCCTTTACCACTTCATTTTTAAAATGCATTTCAGGAATATCAACAGTATCAGTGACTATAACCAAATATATTTCTTATACCTTTTTCCCTCTAAAGAAATATAGTGAAAAAACAGTTTATAAAATATTAATATCTACGTGTGTGTATAGAGAGGGAGAATTTATTAATCGTTCAACAAAGAAACAAGAGAGGAAAGAAGTTGGTTTCAGGTATTTTCAAACAAGAAGGACAAGGCAATGAGGACAGTTCAAGCTCTGCTATGGACAGGACCTCACAGTATATACAGCACACACTAAAATCTTTTTGTCTGTTCCTCCATAAGTTGCTTTTATTAAAAAAAAAAAAATTAGAAGACAACATTAAAAATTATCATCCTCCACAGGAAAGATAAAAACTTGTCCTATAATGCAGACAGGCCTAATAAATGAGTCTTTGAAAAGCCTACACTAAATTTTGTAGTCAATTAAAAAAAAAATCTATTTCAGAATAAGCCTAACATTTATATATTATGAAATATACATTTAATTAAACACTGAAGAACATACTACATATCTAGAATATTTAAAGGCTGTAAAAGTATTATTTAAAAATTAATCACTTTTGAGACAGATATGGCCTATATTTTCCTCCTTCTAAAATAAAAATATAACTTCATACCTCATAATCTGGCCCTCCAAAGTGGGATTTTTTCTTCAGTTCTGTCATGGCATTTTTGTATGCTTCCTCTATTCTTCTTCTCTTCTCAATTTCCTGTTTTGTTTTAAAAAGAAGCAAGTGAAAAATTATCATTTAGGGTGGGGATTTTCTCTGCATTTCACTGAAATTTTATAATTTGGCCAAACAACAGTAACAAAAACCCCACTCTATTCCTGTGAAAAATGAGCTTGATTCGGCCATAGAAAACAGTTTTTCTCTGAGCTATACATTACACACAAGATACCATTTAAATCACTACTAAGATCCATCTTATAGGTAGGTTATGGATTTATTTTTTTTATTTTTTTAAACATTTTATTTATTTATTTGACAAGAAAGACACACAGCGAGAGAGGGAACACAAGCAGGGGGAGCAGGAGAGGGAGCAGCAGCAGGCTTCCCTGCTGAGCAGGGAGCCCGATGTGGGACTAGATCCCAGCACCCTGGTATCATGACTAACCAACTGAGCCACCTGGAGCCCTAGGTTATGGATTTAGATGGATTAAGTAACTGCCAAAGCATCTATACTTAAAAAAAACAGAAACAAAGAAAAAAGATAAATTAACACCACAGAAATGCCTACAAGGTATTCATGTGTTTGCTTACCCCACCCCACCCCCAGTAAAAGCTGTATCTATTTTGCTTTCAAGAAAAAAAGCAATGGATACCAGGAAGAAAATAACTCAATTAACAGGTGAAATCAATGAATGTTAAAATATATTCTAAGAAAGATAAATTTCTGGTACTTTCCCACTGCTGGTTAAAACTATTTCAGGGATGAAAAAGAGCTCAGATTTCTACTTTAACCCTCTCCTTCAATCTGTAGTTCTAAGAGGTTAAAAGACCCAAGGTCAATTTAGAAAGGTTGGCTCTGACACCAATCTCAAACTTATTTCTACAACAATGCATTGCACTGGTCAAATCTGATAACTGAAGTCTAACAAGCTTGTAAGGAACCTAATGCCTTTGTTCCCTTACCTCAAATACCTAAGGGCTAAATTAAAGTCCACATGAACTCACACAAAGCTAACTACTTCCAAATACCTATCTGAATTAAAGTTCATGCAAATCAGTGAATTAGTTCATTAGAACCAAAGCGTAATTTCTGCATACTCAAGAGAAAGCGGGTCTATAGACCCACCAGAATAGCTAAAATCACAAAACAAAACAAAGAAACACCCACAAAAACCTGACAGTACGAAGTGTTGCCAAGGGTGAAGAGCAAATGAATTCTCATCTATTGCTGGTAGAAGTATAAACTGATATAACCACTTTGGAAAATTGTTTGCCAATATGCACTGCAGCTAGCATACACCCCATGAACCAACAATTCTACTGCTAGGTATGTACCTATATCCACCAAAAGCTAGGTACACGAATGCTCACTGCAGCTTTATTCACAATAGCCAAAATATAAAAAAACCTAAGTGTCTATCAACAGGAAAAACTGATAAACAAATTGAAGGCTTACAATGAAATATAATGAAAAAGAATAAACTACCAGTAAATGTAACAACATGACTGAGTCTCACAGTCAATGCTGAGGGGGAAAAAAGTCAAACACAAGTGTATATATGGTCACGTCTTGAGATGGTGGTATGGTATGGACCAGGGAGGCATGCAGGAAACTTCTAGGTGCTATAAAAATTCCTTATCTAATCTGAGTTGTGGTTATAGGGGTGTATACATAGCACAAAAATGAGCAAGCAGTACACTTGGTGCATCTCACTGTATTCATGCTATACCTTAATTTTCAAAACTGAACACAACAAAAACATACAGCACAGCTATAATATTCAAAGGATTTAAGGGAAAATGAAAAAAGCATGTGAAATTACACACATGAGAGCCTATTAATGTAAGCAAACATCTTCAACGAATAGATTTTCTCTTCCTAACATTGTTAATAACTAAAATTGTTTAATCTCACTATTTTTGGTCTTCTTGGACGTGACTAGCTAACAATTAAGTATACTTCTATAATAGAAGGGATTATTATTACAGGTAACCAAGTAAAATCATCACCACTAGATATTAATTTTCTATTATTCAGCTGAAAGAATAATGGAACTGACATTAGAAATCAAAGTATAAACAATTCTGCTATCAAACAGCTGTTATTATATCACCTATGACCTATTTAATTGCTCTCCTTAGATTAAGCTCCTTGAGGGACAATTTCCTGTTTATTGCTGTTTCCCCATTTCTAGCTTAGAGTTTAGCACAGCATAAGCATATAAATACTTTTTGAATGAAACAGAAATTTCCATTAAACAATATTAAATTATCACTGTACTTTCCTTCCCAAATATATAAATTACTTAAAAATCTGTTGATAAACAACACTCTCTATTCAAGAACTTTCTATTCCTTATAGAGTGTGTGTATACACACACACACACACACATATACATGTATGTACACCACACATATACATATAACATAGGTATACACACACACATACATACTGCATATCAAACATACCCACACTCTTACATTTCATATAAAATGTAACTGGGATCCTATTTCAACTTAGAGAAAAAATTATAGTGAATAAGATTTGCCATCAGACCTGTAAAAGACTATAAAATGCAGTAGTTTCTCAATTTCAATTAATATTGCCATCTTTTGTGGCTTTTCTTTGCTTAGATGTTGCACTGAAAAGCAACAAAATTATTTTTTCACAGATCCTTTATTGCTCCTCAATGAAGAAAAAGAATAGATAAGACTGACAACAGTGAAGTTAAGCAAAAGTTCACTTCCCTTTTCAGCACTGCAAGTAAGAAACTTGATTGCTGAAAGGATGGGAAAGCCAGGTTTCATTTTTAATGAATATTTTTTAGGTATTGTGATTAGAATATATGAATGAAGATGATGATCCCTTAGTGAAGGATAAAAAGACAAGAGACTGAAACCTTAAGAGAAAAGTGAGACAAAGTTTAAAATAAGCTAGTCTGGACAAGTTGAATGATTCTCTTGAGCTATGTCTAATGAGTTAAGGGGTTGTCCTGTTTTCTCAACACATTATTTTTGTGTGTACATGGAATCTTCTAAAAAATAAATTTGATTCACACTGTTAGAGTTGAAATCTCTGAAGATAAAATAGTTTGACTCCAGAATAATGAAATGTCTGTACCTTAAATATACATTTTCACTGCTTGTTTTTAAAGAATATGTATTACCAGTCAATATGGTTTACTGTCACCTACACTTGAGAATTCTTTTCTTCTACACAGGGGGACTTCCTTAAATACACAGTACTAATCAAACCCCTGGCCATCCTGCCATTAATCATCAGTGGTAACATTGCTTTACCTAGTTTCCTGCTCAAATTGATTAGACCTTGAAACACTAAAAGCAATTTCACTCATTCAAGAATGACAGGATTCTGACTAATGTCTGGCCTAGTATTCAGAGCTGTAATATAAAATAGAGTAAAATTCTTCCAACTGCTACTTAGCATCTCTGGACCAGTCTCTGGGCCTCTCAGTTCCTTCTATAAAATGCTGGCATTAGACCAGAACTAAATCTTCTAAGATATGTTATAGTTCTAACATTTTATTATTTTCCTGATGTTGAATTCTAAATAGAAGTTTTCCTACTAAACAAATTTACTGAGCCATAGTTGACATTAGGAACTAAAGATTCATATTGTAATGTTACTATCAGTGCTGAAGTTTAAACAAAGGTGGAAGCAGGTGAACATGAGGCAAATGTTCCATGAACAACATGTGTTAAATAATAGCACAATGACCCTGGAAAGTATGTATGGCTACAAATGCAGTAAGTTAATGTTTAACTTGATAAATTGGTGTTTCAGTTCATATAACTTAAATGCAGCTTCACATATTTCACAGTAAAGCTAGGTAATGTGAAGTGGCTCATCATTTCTATTCCAAGGCATTACCATTACTACTACAAAAATTTCTCTATTAAAATCCTACCACAAATTTGTGTTGTATAGTAACTGAATACATAACTGGTAAATCTCACTAGGAAAATGAGTTTAAGATGCCTACAAACTTTCAGAGGAGTAGTACCCCCGGCTACTTCTATCAATCCCAAAAGGTTTTTCCCTAAGAAGTTAGTTTAAATGTTCAATCAATATATAAAGCTGAAATAAAATCAGATCATTTTTTAAGAGGAAGAAAAATGAGACTTACCTTATCCAGTCTCTTTTGCCAGCTGTCCTCACGTTTTACCATTAGTTCGATACAATGAGAAAGTGTAGCAAGGATTCCCGCAGTAGTTGCTTTAAAAGTTATTGCCTCCCCTTTAAAGTCTATGCCATTAATTCCTCTTGGTGTTACATGTGGAAATACTGGGGGGAAAGTTACTCACTGGAAGTCTTTCTAATGAAGAAATAACTCTTCATCACAACTTAAAACTAGAAAATGTTTAAAACCCAGCAAGTCAGAGCAGGTTTTTGGATTATAATTTCCCTCTTGTTGGCCAACATATAAAAATTCCCATTCCATACTCCATAAGCAAAGAAGCTTGCAGCAGCATATGTACTTTCATATCTTTTTTTCTGGGTTCTGTTTCCTGAATCTATTTGCTGTACTGCACCCAGTGAACAAAGTGGTAGGAGGAATAATACTTTAACAATAACACCCTGCCAGCTTAAAGCGGGACCAAATTACGGCAAGAACTAGCTTACATTCTGAGAGACCTAAAATTTAAAAAATACCTGACAATAAACTATAGAACTGAATAAGGTCATGTAAAACTTTTAAATAAATATCCACAATTAAGTTTGAGACCAATGCACACATTAAATGGCTCTTATGTTTACATTTTATAATTTTAACTCAGAGTTCGCCTTTGAATTAATGAAAAATCTTACAACTCAACAAGATGCAAGCAAGACAGCATAATATCTTATACTCTTACCTAGTAAGAAATCATTCCAATAGAACACTTATAAGTGAAATAATGATACTTTCAACTTTAAAAACTCATGTAGATATGACAGCAAAGGTATAATCCACAAAAGAAAAACCGATAAAGTAAACTTCATCAAAATTTAAAATTTCTGCTCTTAAAAGTATTGTTAAAAGAATGAAGGTTATGTAGAATGAGTAAGTCTACAGGTCTAATGTATGGCACTATCACTATAATTAATAATACTGTGCTGAATACTAGAAATTTGCTGAGACAGATTTCAGGTACGGTCATTACAAACAAAAATGGTAACTATGTGAGGAGATGATATGTTAAATAGCTTGACTGCAGGAATCATTTCACTATGAATATCAAATCATGTTATGTATCTTAAATACATATAATTTCCACTTTAAAATACTTACAAAAAGAGAATGAAGAGACAAACCACAGACTACAAGAAAATCTTTGCACAGCATATAGCTAATAAAGGATTTGTATCCTTTATCAATATATGTTACATATAACATATATTAATATAGAATATTGACACATTCTATACTTCAATATAGAATATACATGGTCATCTCAAAACTTAATGATAAGAAAATATATAACCCAACTAAAAAATTGGGACAAAAGATTTGAACACTCTTCAACACAGAGATATGGACAGCAAATAAGCACATGAAAAGATGCTCAATACCATTAGTTACTAGGGAAATACAAAAAAAAAACCATAACAAGACACCACTACATACCTACTGTAAGACTAAAATTTGTTTTATGTTTTTAAAGATTTATTTATTTGAGAGAGAGAGAGAGAGAGCACGGGCACGTGAGCAGGGGAGGAGCAGAGGGAGAGGGAGAATCCCTGAGCAGACCCCCGTCTGAGCATGGAGTCCCACACAGGGCTCGATCCCAGGACGCTGACACCATCATCTGAGTGGAAACCAAGAGTTGGCCACTTAACCAACTGAGCCACCTAGGTATCCCAAGACTAAAATTTAAAAAGACTGACCATGCCAAGTGTTGGTGGGGATTTGGAGGAACCAGGACTATCCTATATGGCTGGTAAAATGAACCTTGGTGGTTGTTTGTTTGTTTTTTTAAAGATTTTATTTATTTATTTGAGAGAGAATGAGAGAGAGCATGACAGGGGAGAGGGTCAGAGGGAGAAGCAGACTCCCTGCTGAGCTGGGAGCCTGATGCGGGACTTGATCCTGGGACTCCAGGATCATGACCTGAGCCTAAGGCAGCCACTTAAATAACTGAGCCACCCAGGTGCCCCTCTTGGTGGTTTTTTAAAAAGTTAAATATACACCTACCATATGATTCAGCCATTCCACTACTGAGTATTGACCTCAAATAAAATATATGTCCATAAAAACACTGCACATGAATGCTCATAGCAGCATTATTTGTAATAGACAAAAACTATAAAAATCCAAATGTCCATCAAGAGATGAATGGATAAGCAAACTGTGTTGTATCAACACAAGGGAATACTACTTAGCAATGAAAAGAAATCAAATACTAATACAAACAGTAACATGATGTATCTCTAAGAAAGAAACCAGGCCAAAACCCTCCCACATACTGCATGAGTCCATTTATATTAAACCTGAGAATATGCAAACTAACCTATAGCGACAAAAAAAGAGATCAGAATGGTTGTTTAAACGGGAATAGGGAGAGGAGGGATGACAAAGAGATGGAGCAAACTTTTGAGGGTGATAGATATGATAATGATCTTGATTATAATATCTTCAGGATAATATAAAAACTGACCAAATCATGCACTTTAAATAATGTGCAGTTTACTGTAGGTTAATTATATCTCAATAAAGCTGTTAAAAAATTTATTTTTTCTTATATTTTCTGAAAAGCCTATCATTGTAAATTCTATATTTTCTATCACTCTTACCAAGACTGCATTTTCATTATAAGCTATTTTTATTAATGCAATGAAATCAAAGGTCATCTGTGTTCTGCATAAAAGAATGTGTACAAATAAAATAATGTGTCCTCTTCTGCTGAATGCTAATTTATATACTTAATATATATAAACTTTATATAGAAGATGAAAGAGTGACATGAAATGTTTTTGAAAAAACTCTAGAAACACAGAAATGTACATCTTCAGCTGTACTTACTACTTTCAGAAGCAGCCACCTAAAATCCTTTTCAGAATGATACAGTGATTATGTCATAGACTAAGCTTTCAAACAGTTGATATTTTCAACACTTTATTTTAGTGTCTCACACACAGTAATGTCTCTGAAATAAATCTCTCATGTTACATCTGTTAGTAAATGAAAGTCATGATGACAAAACCTCACCTTAATCTGTTATCCACTGGGCTCCTCTAAGTACTGGTTACTTTGATTTTTCCTCCAAGTCTCTTATACCTTATACTGTAGAACTATATCAATCTTGATGGGAAAACTTAAGTAGAGCTCTGAAGTACTTGGTAATTTTAGATGAGCATACTCATCTAAATATCTCAGCTAAAAACAAGGAAGTGACTATTTTATTTTTTTTTCTTTTTTAGAGAGGAAGAGAGAGAAAGGAAGGGGTGGGGGAAGGCGGAGAGGGAGACAGAGAATCTTAAGCAGGCTCCATGCCCAGCCCAGAGCCTGATGCAGGGCTTGATCTCACACCTTGAGATCATAACCTGAGCCAAAATCAGGAGTTGGACGCTTAACTGACTGAGCCACCCATGTGCCCTGCACCACCGCCCCCCCCACCGCCACTTTACTTTCTTTCTTTTCTCCTCTTCTTCCTTCCCTTTTTTTTTTTAGAGAGGGAAGGGGGGGGTACTCTTAAAAGAGACAAAGTGACATGCCATAGTTTCCTCTGGGAAAATGATACACTGGAATATAAGGAAATAAAAAATATGTGACTGTAACCATGTCAATGAAAGGCAAAAATGGAAGAAATCAGAAAATGACCTGTAAATCTAGATCTGTAAGTATTAGGCTCCAAAGATTACCATTCAGATTTATAGTTCTTTCAGTTGAACTCTTAACCTTATATACTTTAAAACTCTTTTAAAGGTATGAACAGTCAGAAAATTAAGGAACCTATAAATTCACATCAACATGTCAAAAATAAAAACAAATGCTGAGAGAAGCTGAGCTATTTGAAATCCTTTCCTTTCATTAAGACTCTCAAACACTATTTTTGTTTTTGTTTTTAAAGATTTTATTTATTTATTCATGAGAGACAGAGAGAGAGAGAGAAGCAGAGGGAGAAGCAGACTCCCGGCCAAGCAGGGAGTCCGATGCGGGACTCAATCCTAGGACTCTAGGATCATGACCTGAGCCGAAGGCAGTTGCTTAACCAACTGAGCCACCCAGGCGCCCCTACAACTCCTTAAGTAGCAGAAAACTGAGAGTAATGTAAATGATTCGATTCCATATAGGTACAAATGAACTTTGTCCAGTGGATATACTTAGTTACTAATCTCTGAATACTGACCAGCTTTGCATATATTAGCAAAATCATTTCAATATTCCTTATATTCTCCCTTGAACCAATTTTTTCTTTATATCTTAACTCATTAATGAATGAAATAAAATCTGATATGTTCATTTTATATTTCTAAGAATCATGATTTTGCCCCTTAAAAACTATTCTATAACATCAAATAAATTACACTGTAGAAAATGTATTTCAAAAAACTATCACATAAGTTCTTTTCACAACATTCAGTACTAAACTCAATTTATGCTGCCTTAAAGCATACATAACCACAAACCTTGAATGAAGAGGTGGATGTTGCAGAATAACCACTTGCTCCAGACACCAGTGACACCATAGAGCCATGTCGACGTAAGCTGGATTCAGACCCATACCCAGATTCAGTCTAAAAATGAAAGTAAACTAGGTGAAAAAAAATTAAGCAAAAAGTACTTAATCATCACAAGAAGAAAAGTTGTAACTATGTGAGGTGTTGGATGTTAACTAAAATTACCATGATAATCATTTCACAATATATACATATATCAAATCATTATGTTGTATACTTTAATACAATGTTATATGTCAATTATATATCAATAAAACTGGAAAAAAACCAGGAGAAAACAAAAGTTTTCCTACAAATCAATAGGGCTATTAATAACAATAATTAGCAGTTTTGAGTCCATTCAAGAAATATTACCAAGCCACTGGCATAAGTAATGCCTTTCCATTCCTAATTGCCATTTAATTTAGAGATTTATTGAATAACAACTACATTGGGCTAGTGGGCTGAGAGTGTTTGATAACAGGAAAACTACCTAGAGTAGGCAAATTCATAAGGATGAAGTAGGACGGTAGTTACTAGGGACTAGAGGGAGGGGGAAATGAGATGGAATTTACCAGGCACAGGGTTTTTGTTGGAGAAGATGAAAAAGTTCTGGAGATGGATGGTGATGTTCAACATGAGTC